CTTCACGGCGAAGTCGGGCTCGCCCGTGCACGTCCCCCGCCTCGGCCTCCCCCAGGGCCTCCGAGGGGCCAGGTGACAGCCCACCTTGTCTCTGCTCCTTCAGGGCCCCCTCCCCCAGCAGCTGCCCGCCTGGCGGGAGCGGAGGCGTCGGGAGCAGCCCGCCCTCGCTCCCCCTGCCCTGCACCAACGTCCCTGCTCCTTGGCGCTGACCCGCCGCTCACCCCAGGCTCTGACGAGTGACAGTCCGCTGTCCCCTGGCGAGAGTGCAGTGCCTGGCGGGGGCAGCCCCATGGCATGGAGATGGTCTGGGCACTCCCCGTGCAGAGGCCTGGCCGGGGGCAGCGGGAGCAGCGTGAGTGCGTGCCCCCGTGGGCTGCCCACGGTCACCCTGCAAGAAACACGGCCCAGCGCTGCCAGAACTTCCATGTTTTCAAAAGAGCTTTCTGTGGAACGTTCTGATTTTCCGTGTTAGCAGCCGACAAAGTCCTGCGGGTGGCGGAGAGAGCATAGTCCTGCCAGCCCCTGGGCCACACCTCCTGGCAGAGAGGACTGACCTTTCCAGGAAGACTGCTGCTTGGAGGGTGTTGGACCCTCTCCCCAAGGACCCGGAGAGGAGCCAGGCCTGCCTCCTGGAGTGGCTTGGTGGCTTTGGTGGGCAGCCGGAGCAGGTGACCTGCCATTGGGCACACCAGCCTGCAGCTTTTCAGAGTGCCGGGCACACCCCTGCGCCTCCCCCGTGCTGAGGGCGCCTCTGGGCCCCTCTCTTCCACATAGCTCATCTCTCCGTGCCCCCCAAGACTGAGCTCCCAGGACCCGCTCCCGAGCAGCTCACTCTGACCGCCCACCCCTGCCCAGCTGGGGTGGTGCATCCCGCCGCCCCCTCCACTGTGACGGTCCTGCACGTCAGACATCAGGGCGCCAGCGCTGTCTCCCCAGGAAAGGGACAGTGTGTTGTGAAAGCATGCAGGTCCTGCAGCATGGTGTGCCACACACCGAGAAGGAGCCCAGCGGGAACCGTTAGAGGGCTGTTTCGTACACCGACAGAGCGGGTACGCCCTTCCCCTGCATTGTAGAGGGGCGTCTTGGACGGTTTTAGCAAACAAGCGAGAAATGGTAAACTCCCGCTTCAAATTCTGTGAAGAGCACCTTATTTATTATTATTATTATTTTTTTTTGGAGAGGCTTTTGCTATAGGGCGCATGCGCTCCCCAGAAAGACAGAGACAGAGAGACGGAAAGCGAGAAATCACCCCCCAGGGGGGATGGCCACGCCACAATCCCTTCTCCTCCATTCTCCTCTCGGGATCTTGGGCACGCACGCCACCAGGTCCGGGACTGGACCCACAGTCGACTACATGGGAGTCCAGCAACACAGCCATTATGCTAACTGCTGGTCCCAGGAGCACCTTATTTTGTAATTGTTGTTATGTTTGTTAAAGACTGGAGAAAACGTGGAAACAGTGGATAGCATAATGGTTACGTTGCTGGACTCCCACGTAGTTAACTGCAGTTCCAGTCCCAGACCCGGTGGCTTTAAAAAACCCCAGACCCGGTGGCTTAAAACACTCTGGGCACATGTGTGTGCATGCCCAAAATACCGAGAGGAGAATGGAGAAGGGATTGCAACATGGCCCGGGAGTGACTTCTCACTTTCTGTCTCTGTCTTTCCCGCGAGCGCATGCGCCCTGTAGCAAAAACCTCTCTTTAAAAAAAAGAAGACTGGAGGAAACATCAGGTTAAGAATAGATGAAGCGTGAGACAGTGTGGAAGTCAAGCCACTGCATCGTACGTTTGTTCTGACAGCCACAGGAAAATGGTAGCAGAATACTTTCAGATTTTACTGAGAGCTGTGCTTCATTAAAAAAGAAAGAAAGAAAGAAAGAAAGAAAGAAAGAAAGAAAGAAAGAAAGAAAGAAAGAAAGAAAAAGAAAAGGAAATATGGCCAGTCCAGAGGCCGTGGTTAGGGAGCTGGATCCCACATGGCTGACTGCACATTCAAATCCCAGCCCCACTGGCTTGAAAACACACCCGTGCGTGTGCATGCGCGTGTGCGTGCTCAGAATGGGCCCAGCAGAGAAACTGAGGACAAGCACGTCCGATGGGAGGAGAAAACGAGGGCGAGATTCCGGGCGTCGCCACGCCCAGTGCTTGCCCCGCGGAGCACACCTGTCCTTCGCGGGAGGAAGGACACTAACAGGAAGAAGTCGGTTTTAAACGGGAACCCTGCACAGGTTTTCAGATTCCCCGGTAGTTCAGTTAACGGAGAGGAGTGTTTCTGGGCCCGCTGGTGGGGTGGGCACGGCAGCCGGAGCCCTCGTGGCCCACTGCAGGTTCGAGCCTGGCCCGGTGGCCTGCTAGTGCTCTGAGAGAATGGGGAATCCAGTGTGGCCATCCCCCTGGGGCTCTTCTCACTTTCCTTTTTCCTCTCTGGGGTGCGCATGTGCCCTCTAGCAATTTTTTTTTAAATTTGTATTTCCTACTGATTTTTCGGGAAATGGAGACACTGACAAAGATCACTTCACCACAAAGCACCCAGTGTGCGTCACCAGTCCAAGGCACATGTGACGAGGACCACGCCCGGGTCCCCAGTGCTTCCCTTCAGAGGTGAAAAGCTGGCTCTGCACTTCTAAGTTGCGGCCGTTGTAAAATATTGCATGTCGTTTTCAGTCCTGACTTTTGAGGCCGGGGACCTCCCTAGACAGCAGTACGAGCGCGCCGGGGCAGAGGAGACTGCTGTTCTGTTCCTGATAAGAAAACGATACGCGGTCACCATCCTGCCCGGGAGCGAGCCAGGACAGCCGACACGCAGGGATACTCAGGGCTGTATCCGGCAGCTAGTAAAACACGCTGTGATTTTGCAAGGCTGACGACATTGTCCTCTTTTACGTCCCATTACTAGGTGTTGTGCCTTCTCCCTCTGGAGAGGTATGCGTTAGGAGAGCTTGTCCGGAAAGGTCCCCCAGGCTGTGTAGGCCGGGGTCAGCCAGCCGGGCTAGACGGGCTTTCGGAAGCAGTAGGGCTGTTTGTGCGGGCTCAGGCTCTTGGCCTATGGCCTTTGAGGGAAAAGAAGCCATTGGAGCACGGTGGTGAGTTAAGACGTGTTTCTGTCCCTGGCTGGGACACAGTGCCACCCACCAGCACAGCTGCCTGGGCCTGGCTCAGCCCTGGGTCTCGGGCGGGCCTCCCTCAGCCTCCCATCTCCACCTGCTCACAGGTCTCCTCGTGGGCACCCTGGACGTGGTGCTGGACTCCAGTGCCCGTGTGGCCCCATACCGCATCCTGCACCAGACTCAGGACTCACAGGTCTACTGGACGGTGGCGTGCGGTAGGTACCCGGAGGCACGGGGGTGGCGGGCAGGGCCTGCCCTGGAGAGGTGGCACCAGGGAGGTTGGAGACGTGCAGCCTGCGTTCCTGGGTAGCGCTGCCTCTCAGACAGCTCAGCCCCGGCTAGCCAGCTTAGAAAGGCAGGTCAGCGTTTGCAGGGACAGGGCTGGCAGGGGACAGCCACACGTGCCCCAGAGGGCTCTGGTCTGCGGTCGCAGCGTGCCTGTTCTGCGAGCCGTTACACAAGGCTCCTTGTTCACGGGCGTATTTTCAAATCCACTCCCAAACGGTTGCATAGCACTTCGTGGTCAGTCGGAAACTCCCGTGGGCACGTCTGTGTGCAGGGCAGTGATAGGCTTGAGTCCCCACTCTGGGGGCTGCGGTGGCACCCAGCCTCATTTCTGCTCTTGTCCCTTCACAGTCTGTTTTACGCGTTTTTTACATTTTGTTGTTGATATCACTGTTTAAATTGGCTCCCAAGAGGGCCAGGTGGCGTAGTGGCTAAGATGCTGGACTCCCACATGGGCGAGTGCAGTTCAAGCCCCACAGCCAGCAGCTTAAAAATCACACTGTGCATGTGCGAGGTGGGGGGAGCCGGGGTTGGGGTGAGTTCTTACTTTCCCTCTCTCTCTGGTGAGCTCGTGTGTCCTATGGCAAAAACAAACCAGAACAAAACTGTGGCCCAGCCAAGTGCTGAAGCCCCTTCCGGTCTGAGCCAGGATGGCTGATGGCCTCGCAGGCGGGTGTACGTGCTGGGCCGGAAGTCGGCAGAGGTGAAGGGGGCGCTCTGCAAGGCCCGCTCTCCACAGGGCCCGGGCCGTGTCCAAGGCTGTGTCCTGTGTCCCTGGCGCTGCACAAGTGCCATGGCCTCAGGCTGGTGGCCACTGGGGTGGACTTTAGTGTCCAGACCCTATGGGGGCAAGTGCTGTCTGTCTCCATCTCTCCCTCGGGGGAGATACACATCTTTTTGGTTAAAAGAAACCGAGCAGGTGTGCTCGATGGGCGTGGCTCAGGCCCGGCTCAGGAAGCGGTACACGTGGAGGCAGCAGCAGACGTGCGTGTGGAGGACGTGCCGGCCCCGAGCCTGGGCGTGTGTGGGAGGCGCGGGAACGGGCGAGTCTGTCTGGCTGTCCTCCGACGAGCTGGCCTGCCTCCCACTTGGCCTGACGGGAGGACACGAGGCTGGGCCAGACCCCACCTCCTGCCCCGAGGAGGGGCCGCTGCGCTGGTCCTTTGCGTTCCAGGGGCTGTGCTGTGGCCCAGAGGGGTTACGAGCTGCCCGAGGCCAGCCGGGGCTGCACTCAGACCGGGCGTGCTCCCAGTGCCGCGCCCAGGTCCCCTCTGGCCTGGACGCTGGGGCCACTGTCCTCCAGGGCCAGGTTCCCTGGGGGCCGAGGAGAGGCTGCGACTCGGAGTTGGTGGGCCTGGTGGCCAGGCCGAGCTCCTGCAGGGGTCCAGGGAGGAGCACACCGCTTCTCCAGAATGCCTGCCCGACACTGCCACCCCTCCCCACCCCAGCCACAGCGTCCTGCCCCTTTGCGTCAGGGGCTAACCCTCGTAGGGCTTAGAGAGGGGGCTCGCCCACTGCCTCAGGGGGAAGCCCGACCACAGACCTCCTGGTTCTAGACAGAGGATGCAGGAGAGGGCCAGGAGGCTGACGTGGGCCGTCGGATCTTCCTCTCCGCCTCCGTGGGCTTTCCCTGGGAGCCACCCGGGAGGTGGCGCGGTGGCCGGAGCGCCAGGGGAGAGGGGAGCGCACCCACAGCGGGGTTTAGTCTGCAGTGGCACCTGCTGTCCCAAGAGGCCTGTAGCCTGCCTCCTGACCTTCCTGCCACTCCTAACAGGTCGATCTATCCTGGCCTCTGCTTCTCCCCTCCGGGCAGGCTGGGCCCCCAGCCACCCCGAGACCAGCACCCCCATGACCCCAACCCTTGGTGCTGGCATGACAGATGTCAGGGGTCCACCTTCCTGGGGCCTGGTCCCCTCCCCAGCTCACAGCCTAGCCTCCAGCCCGACCACAGGGGCAGGCCTGAAGTTCCCACGCACGCCCTCTACGCATCCCCCCCTCCCTCCATTCTATTGAGGTTCCTCCTGCACACCACCCCCTGGGGAGCCTCCCCAGCTTCCCAGACCCACCGACCACCCTTCCTCCTCCTGGACTCCCTGCCTCCCCCAGCACCTTCGTGCTGAAGTCTCCCGACAGCCCGTGCTCTGCAGCCAGCTAGGACTCCGCTTGCTCACTTCCAGCTGTGTGACCTGAGGTCACCTCCTTAACCGCTTTGTGGCTCGGCCTGGTCCCGTAGGATGAACATAATGGTGTTTCTCCGCAGGTGTTTTCAGGGTGAAGTCACATAACCTCCGTGGGAAACTCTGGGCAGAGGTAGCTACTTAGCAGTTACTGTTACTTCTAGCTTAGCGATGCCCCTAGTACTGAGCACTCCTTAACACTGAGACGTTTCCTTAGGATGAAATGGGCATCAAGCTACGTCTAACTGGTATTTCTTTTTTAATTTTTTTAAAGAGTTATTTTTTTATTTAATTTTTTTTTATTATTATTTTAATTTGACCAGAGAGGGACGGAGTGAGGAGAGAGGGAAAGTGAGAAAGCAAGCCGCCAGATTCAGGACTCGAACCGCGGTCAGGCATGTGGGAGTCCAGTGCCCTTACCCACCCCGCCACCCCCTGGCCTCCGGATGTTTCTTTTTCTTTTTCTTTTTTTTTTTGGAGAGTTTTTTGTTGTTGTTGTTGTTGTTTTAAGGTGCGTGTGCTCACCAGAAAGACGGAAAGAGACAGAAAGAAAGTGAGAAACCCCCCCCTAGAGGGAGTGGCCATGCCGCAATCCCTTCTCCTCCATTCTCTCGGGATCTTGGGCACGCACACGCACACACACACACACACGTGCCCGGTCACTCCAATTGCTGGTCCCCCCTGGTATTTCTTTTAAGGTGGATCTGAACATTTAGAATTAAAGCACAGGCAGACCCACGCAGGCAGCAGACTGCCCCTGTGTGTGTCCGCGGAGACAGTATGGGCTCACAGCACCAGTGACCTCATCTTCCGATTGTAACTGGGTTCTTGACAGAACAGTGAGTGAGAGATCCCTTCCCCACCGACTGGGCCCGGCCCCTGCACCAGGGACAGAGGCCATGATAGGAAAGCGGAGGAGCGTGGAGACGGGTGACACGGGGACTCGAGGGGGGGTGCCGATCACCTGTCCCAACTCACTGTGAACTGAGTTGGGTCTCCCGCCTTCACGTGGGCCTCCCAACCCTTCAGGAAGGAGCTTTCCTCCCAAGTTACAGGCTAGGGTGGTGAGCTGCTCGAGCGGAGTGAAAGAAACAACCAGCCTAGGCAGGGTGGGCTGGCGTGACTGTGACCAGCAGGTACCATGGCAGGAGAGGGGCAGGGTCGGCCCAGAGGTGCAGGCTGGGCCTTCGGCTGCTGAGGAGTACTGCCAGGTAGGGAAGGATGGGGTGCCAGGAGCCGGGCATCTGCGCAGAGGTGTCTGGGTCACAGTCAAGGGGACCCACGTCATGCTAGGGCTCCCTGCACACCACGCGTGGGGCTCCAGGCAGGACCTCTGCCGCCTGGCAGCCCCAGGGAAACAGGCAGAGGGGAGGGACACGCCATCGCTCCCCACTAAGCATGCTGGGCATTGATAGTGACGCCGGGATTGTCCAGTGCCTTCTGTGGGCCAGCCCAGACACACTGAGCAGCAACACAGAAAACTTCCATGACTCATGGTCCAAAGAACATGACCGTGAGTCACGGGCACACTTGGTCTCCAGCACACGGTCCGTAAGCCATCACACCCCAGGACAGCTGAGCGGCTTCAGAGTTCTTCCTCAGAAACCAGTTCTAGCGTGCAAACCCCACGCGGGGCACATGCAGGACCCTAGGGCTGGCTGCTGGGGTGGGAGCTGAGCCAGGTAGACCACGCTTGGCCGTGGGAGTGGCACCACGC